AAGGCCAAAAAGTCAAATTTAAAATTTAAATTTATACTTGCACTACAGTCGCAGTTAAAGATTATGTAAGTAATCAATTATTTTGATGATTAAGTGAATAAAAAAATTCTGCAGAGTTTTCATTCACCACTTGATCTTATTTTATGTAATATTGGAAATACATCAATCAATCCAATGTTATTTAGCACATTTCAGCATCAAGGCACTTCAAAGTTCTTCACATCATACAAACAAAGTTAAGCAACATAGAATAAACAATCAAAAAATTACATTTAGTCAAGTGCCATCGTTAAATTTGTAATGATTATGTTTCAAAAGCAAATCTAAACTGCTGGGTTTTTAGTCGCGATGTAAAGGCGCCCAGTGTTTCAGCTGTTTTACAGTTTTCTGGAAGTTTGTTCCAGATTTGTGGTGCATAGAAGCTGAATGCTGCTTCTCCTCGTTTGGTTCTGGGGATGCAGAACAAGAACCAGAAGACCTGAGGGCTCTGGAAGGTTGCTATGACAACAGCAGATCTTTAATGTATTGTGGTCCTAAACCGTTCAGTGATTTATAAACTGACAACAGTATTTTAAAGTCTATTCTCTGAGCTACATGGATCCAGTGTAGTGACAGTAGAACTGGCTGATGTTCTCCATCTTCCTGGTTTTAGTCAGAACTCAGCAGCAGCGTCTGGAGCTGATTGGTTTTTTTAGTCAGACCTGTGAAGACGCTGTTGCAGTAATCAATGCAACTAAAGATGAACGCATGGATGAGTTTCTCTAGGTCTTTCTGAGACTTTAGTCCTCTGATCCTGGAGATGTTCTTCAGGTGATAGAAGGCCGACTTTGTGACCATCTTTATGTGGCTCTGAAGGTTCAGGTCAGAGTCCATCTCTACATCCAGATTCGATCCTGATCGCCGGTTTTTAGTTGTAATAACTGAAGCTGTGCATCGACTCCAGAGCGTTCCTCTTTATGTCCAAAGATAATGACTTCAGTTTTGTTTCTGTTCTGCATGATGACGTTTTGAGTAAAATCCAAAGTTTTAAGCTATAATTACCTGAATTTCTTAGGGATTAATGACATATAACTGAATTGAAAATAAAACACCAGGCACTTACACAATTATCCCAGTTGGTCTTTTGCCATTTTTATTATGACTGGACTTTTTGTTTGCAGTTTAAGAGGTTAAAAAGGTGGCGTGTAATCCTGCTAAAACACTTGCCCTGCGGCTAAGTACATTCTCTTCAGTATTATAGCAAGACAACATCGCTTTATAATATCTTTGACCCCTATTAGTTCGAGTCTGAGTCATAATCTTGTGATAGTCACAACACAGCAGCAGCACACAGTGTAATAATAACCCACTGTGACAGTTCGAAAGCCACCTCATGCCTGATTAAGGCCATCAGCGATGGACGCTGATCCCAAAAGAAACGTGAAACTGTTTATATTCCAGCTAATTGTAGTTGCCCTGACATTTTCATCTGGGAACTCATTGGTGTAAAACAACATTTCCTCTTCAATATTTTCTATAGAGTTGTTTTTAGTTTGATATCAGCTCACACTGCCATTTAAATCCCAAAACAAACAAAAACACTTTGAGACGCGCTGGCCGCCTCTGCCTACCACAGCAGGGGTCTAATTCACTTCCTGCTCAGACGAGAAACAGGAAACACGCTTCCTGACTTTCCCAGAAAGTCTATTTGTTTTATATTCTGGTCGCATCTGGGAACAAAACCAAATAAGTCTAAAAAGGTTCGATCTGTGGTGCCTAAACCGCCTGGCCAAGCTTGAAGGAAACACACTGGATACTTTGTCCAGAGTCACATGAAGGCTTATGGACAAATGAATTATTCAAACTGGGAATATGTGAACATGCTTCACGCTCTAAAAAGACCACCAGAGGCAAACTGCAGCGAGAGCCGAGCCTAAGCTCGACAGAAAAGAAACATAATATCTGAAAATGTAATTTCTCCCCGTTATAACCAAATCATATAAAATAGTAATGTCTCTGAAGGGTTTAGAGGGGCGAAAGCCTGAAGGGCAACACTAAGAAATCTAATTACCTAAAGAATTTATGCAGACATTATTTTTATGTTTTAGGGCTACAACCTTAAACTGCAGTAATCTCACTGAACTTCACTGAAATGTTAACAGTTAGGATGTGAATAAAGATAAAAAATGCGGGAAATTCTTTTTTTTTTTGCAAAATAAAAAAGATAAACATGTTTAAAACATGTAATTTTGCTCCTACAATCCATGTGATCAAACATTAAACATCCATTTTTACACACTTTTCACAGATAATATCATAATTACAGGTAAATAAAATATGCACTTCATGAGTCAGAAGTAGACATGATGAAAACAAAACAATGAAAAATTTATCTTGATGAAAAAGTTACATTTCCATTTTGCTTCTGCATGTTGTATTTGTTTGGTCTTGTGACAGTAACTGAATCAGATGATCATGTTTTCCAACTATTGGCTAATGGCTATTGACTGTAACAATAAAATGTATATTGGCCAAAATGTTTATAGTGCATCCTGAAAATCAGGAAATAAATAAAACAAGCTGTTAAATTTAACTAGCTGGAACGGATGTTGCCTGATCAGTGGGTTTAAAGATAAAAATTTTACAGCTTGTTCGTTCACTCATTTAAAATTGTGAAGTTTAAGACACTAAAGCAGCAAAACGTTTTTAGTAACACTAAGGGGAAAAGTTTTTTTTGGTAGTAAATGATAGAAGTGTGACGGAGTCATAATGTGTTTTCTCATCTGATGGACCAAAGTTGCAACATTTCTTACATTTTCAGCTGCTGTGGTTTGATTTTACACCACACTGTCAAACAAACCAAACCCTTTGAAAAAACTGTTTACCTATTTACCCAGAATGCCTTGCACTGTAGTTCACTTCCTGTTTCTGGTCCACTTGAGACCAGCCTCTGGTCTAAACTGAGATTGAGGTTTGTAGGCGGATTAGAGATCGATTTTTTTGGTCTGCATCAGAGTTTGATTCACACCTCCAGAAACGAACCGCACTTTCTTGGCAAACAGACTGAAGTTTGATTCAATCAGACCAAACTGGAACATTGAAACGGCACTATATGATCAAATTCTGTCACTGAACAAAATAAAATTCTACCTGTAACGTACACTGAGCGCAGCACTGAAAACTGACAACAGCAGCACAATAAATCACAATACAACGCGCTACAGCTAGGGCTGGGCTATAAAACAATAATAAATATTGCAATAGACACGTGATCAATATCAACAGATGGCATGTCAGATTTCCAACAATTTTCAATTATTTCACTGAATCCCGATCCAGACATTAAAGTAAATGAAAAGTATAAAGACATTAGCAGCTCAACCTCTCGTGGCCGGCTATGCTAGGTTGGTGGAATCCACTAACTCTCTCACTCTTTGGTTACCTAGCAACTCTCTCACTCTTTGGTTACCTAGCAACAACCTGCTGAGTAATTGCAACAGTTTATAGTTTTGCTGTTTAGGAATAAAAAGCAAGGGTGTGACGGCGTACTTATTGGGAGAAAATGAGTACAACTCCAAAGAAAACTGTGGATAAATGAGGAAACACCACCAGTTTGTCAATATTTCAGATATTTAAATTTAATTCAAATTAAAAATATTTATTGATCCCAAAAGGAAATTAAATGCTGTAAATGTAGATGGACAGGAAAGATCTCCTGTAGCGATCTGTATTGCAACAACAACAACAAAAGGAATCAATAGTTATCAGCATTGGCTGATATAAACCCTTTACTTGCAGCGCAGACACAAAGGAGTTTAGAGGTTTGGTGCACATATTTCCCATAGTGAGGCTAAATATGAATGCAAAATATGAGTTTTCTGGAATAACGGACAGCTGCCAATCAGCTGCCAAAAGCTCAGGTCACATTCTCACCACAAAGCCTGGAAAATGCTGCAAAGTGAAAAGGTTACATTAAGGTGACATCAACAAGAGAACAGATGACGGAAAGAAAAGAGGTAGAAAGGTCAAGGGAGACAGAAAGAGAGACGGATTTTCAAAGGTCTCCATTCACCCGCCGCTTCTCCTCTGAGCAAACCCCCAGAGAGCGGCGCGTGGCGACTCACAGCTGACATTTACTGCCTGCCTTCTGTTGCTGTGATTATTTTCTTCTCCAGGTGTGAGAGCCAACCTGCGGTTTGCCGCTTTTGGATGAATGTGACCCTAAACGAGTCCCCGAAAGACCGGGTTAGATAAATACTGAGAGTATGACGGCTGAGGCAGAACCACTGGTAAAATGGACGATTGGGAATCTTATAAAAGTTATACAAGTAAAAGGTGAGGAACTCTGAAGAAAAATGTCACGGATTTTGTATAAAAAGTCCTAAAAAATTAATGGGTGACTTTTTATGCTTTATTTAACAGGTTAGAATAGGTTTATGATCTATATAAAACAAGTTCAGTACATTTTTTGGCTAGAATCTTTCTTAAAGAGATTTTAAATCCAAATGGCTGCTGGCCACTCAACGTTTACACTCGCTCATGAGAATGGCTCCAAAAAGATGTAGAATTACACGATCGTACATTTTTGAAAAGCATCATTACACAACCAATCAGAATGCAGCAAGGGTTTTCTGGATGGTAAGTCGACCAGAAAACACTTGTGTTTTCCAGCAGCCATTGTAAAGCGCATACAATGGTAAAACCAGACCAACCGTGCTGAAGCTCAGTTTGGGTTGCTAGGTAACGAGCAGAGTTGCTATGTAAATGGCTGGAGTTGCCAATTTTTAACATTCGGGAGGTTTTTGAAAGAGCCAATTTTCCAGGCACCAAAAAACATGAACTTTTGGTGTCTGGGTATTTTTTTTGTGTGTGAGTGCTTCAGCTGTTTCTAGAAGCAGTAAAGACCCAAATAAAAGTACAAAAATGTGCGACATGTTAATTTTTGCATAACAGATCCCCTTTAGTAATGAAGGAGACATCAGTTTGTTAGCGTAGCCACACAGCTGCTGCAGGAAGCCTACCTGTCTGTGGATGGAGGCCGGTCGTTTCGGGCCCGGCTGACCGGCGAGTAGAGAGAGTCAGAGTGCTGGTGTTGGTGATGAACGTGGGAATATTCGTCACGGGGGCTGTGGGCCCGGCTGTGACTGCTGTCCATGTTCAGAGGGTTCACGCCGGAGTAGGTGTGATCCTCCTCAGAGGATCTGTCCAGCGGGCGACTGACGTCCAAGATCTCTGCGTAGTCCCGTTCCCGGGCTTGGCGTTCCCTCAGCTCCCTCGTCTTAGCTTGAATCCTGACAGGCGAAGAATAGATTTATTAATATTTATTACTGAAACAACTTTCCCGCCTTTAAAAACATAGCTGTGCTAACCCCAAAGCACCCCAAAGTTCTGCTAACATTAAAGTGCTACATCAACATAGTATTTAGTAGATGCTAATGCTAATGCGCTAAGGGCAGGCTCTTAAAACAAATCATATAGTTTGTTCTGTGCTGCATCCTTCTGTATAACTCGTTTGTTTGTTTTCTGTAGTTGCCATTTCCTCAAAGTTTCTTGACACACAAAAGGAAATGGAACTACTCACTTCAAAATAAGAGCATGTACATAATTGTCTAACTACTTGAAGATTTAACCGAAAGTTTAATAGAGTTGTTGGTTTTTAGCAAAACTGACACTGACAAAATTGACAGCCAAGTAAATAAGCGCTTTGGAGTTTATCGATAAAATTAACAAGAAGCTATGTGTGCTAAATATGTTCAAAGTTAGCTAAATGCTAAGCTAAAAATTAGCTCTGGTGCTGGCGGGTTAGCAGAAGTGACCCCACCATTGCTGACTACTGCTGCTTGCATGTTTAAAGTTTCCAAGCGGATTGTTTCTAAATGGTCATAATATTTAAGATTTTTTACATGTTTAAATGACGGTGGCTCATTTCACTTTCAATTAAGCAAAATTAACCATGGAGCTAAGAAATAACTTTCTGTTCATCTTTCTGTTCGTCATATAACTGGAATTGGTTTTATTTCACTCATCAATCCTGAAAAATGCATAAAAAGTTCTTTAAATATCTAAAGATATAAACTGACTTCTTTTAAAATCTAAAACAAGTTAAAGGAATTTCTGACTGAATTATTTAAAAAAATAACTGCAGTTATTTTTTTCTTTATTATTGCTATTCATAAATCACAAACTGAAGGCCCTACAACAATTTTACTTAAAATTAGTGTATATATTTGTTTTTTTATTTTTTATTTTGTATGTTCACTTTTTATAGATTTATGTTGATGACATTCTTGAATTCCTAAAATGTTGCCAGATTTTTGTCATGTTTTGTCCTTTTAGCTGAGAAAAATGTTTTCATATCTGAGCAATAAATCAAAAATACATTGGGTTATCATATAAAAATCAAGGAAAGGCTAACAAAGGTTTAATTAGAAACACACTAAAGATGAAATCCCAACATTCATTTTAATATTAAATGCGACTATATGAACCGAGTGCAGAGGTTGTCTTCTTTGATTAAACTGAGTTAATGAAACCAACACAATACATGAGATAATATCCACACTGCCACCTCACCAGCAGTGCAGGCATTTATTTTTAGACGAAGTGACTCCTTTCCTACTGCCAGAAACAGCCTAGTTACTCCCTGTGTGCTGGGAGTTGGAAGCCAACTGATGCTACCACAGAAATAACGGGAAAGAAACGGGAAGTTGTGACATTCGGCTCAGGTTCTGGCCGCAGTTTCTGTGGAACGACTTCCTGAGACAGGATGAAGAATCCAGAGAGCTGTCTGCTGCTACGCTAGCTAGCAGCAAGGATCGTCTCCAACCTGCAGGCAGGTTTTACTCTGCAGACACGGATTCTGGTTCAAAATCAACAAATATTACAGGCAAAGGAGGTTTTATGGAAAATAAAAAAAACATTAAATTATAAAGGCATATTGCAGAATAAAAACAGTTTAACTCTAAGTCTCTTTCTTTTTGAAAATAAATAATCTGATTTCTTTGTGTGTATTTGAAATATTTCTAATAATCTTTGAGTTGAATAATTTTATTTTACATGAATAGGGAGTAGATATTTAAACTTCTTTCTGCTCCTTTTCATTCATGATTTCTTAGTTGCTACATGATTTATTCATATTTATTAAGTGAATGAAATAAAACATATAATTAAATGAACCATAAAGCTTGAAATGAAAAAGCATTAAAATGCAAATAGTTACAGACAAAACATCAACCAAAAGACTTAGGAAGGATTAAGAATTAATGTAAATAACATTATTTAACCATAATTCTTACAAGATATAACACAGCTGTTAAAAAATTATAAAAATATTGTCTTTGACGAAGTTTGTATCTATCAAAGGTTTTTAAACTTTAATATAATTCAAAGTCAAAAGTCTCAGCCAAGATTAAAATGAAAACGCAGAAGAGGAAGAAAAATAATCATAATAAAAAAAACAATAAGCCAAGAAGATTAAACTTTTAAAAAGTATTAAAATGCAAATAGAGATGAAAAAGTCGCCAACAAACACAAAGGAAAAAAGCTTAAGGATGATTAGAAAATAACCTGAACAGCATATTTTACCACAGTTCTTTCAAAAACACTTTGTTTTTATTAAACGTTTCTAAACTTCAAATCGATATTATTCAAGGTCAAAGTCTTGGCAAAGGTTTAAAATAAAAACTTATGAGAAAAAACAAAACATTAAGAAAACAACGATGAAACATTTAAACATTTCCTGCTTTACATCTGAAACTGCTGAATGAAAACCTCATTTGATGCGGCTGATACAAGGTGGAGCCTCAGTCTCACATTAAGACGCTGCATCACCTGATGGCTAATTCTGCTTTTCTGTTTCAGTTTCCATTAAAGCAGAGAGAAGGCGTGGAGTGTTTAGTCTGCCCCCTGTGAATAACCAACAGTCCAGGCGGCCGATGCACCGAACAACACAAACACCTCTGACATCTTTGTGTCTCGCTAAAATAAATAAATAAATCAGCATTTCTACTCCAGACGTCAAGCTTGTGAATAACTTGCACCAGTTTTTAGTGGCAGAGGGGGACTAACGATCGCAGAGACCTGCAATTAGAGCCTTGACAACTATCAGAGCTTTACAGCTAGCAATTATCAAACTGCTCTGCTTTCTTTATATGTCGCTTTCTAACGGCGCTGGGAAACAGAACGGGACATCGCCCGCTTGGGAAACCCAGAAACAACTCACAGAAGAAATGAGACCTTTAAAATGTAGGAAAATAATTATAAGCCGACATTTAGGGCCGTTCCCGAACACCCTAGAGCAGCGTTTCCCAAACTGTGGTCCGTGTTTACATGCCAGATACTGCATGCCGTGAAACGAGCACAAAGTACGACAGGTAAAGTTAGCCTACCAAAAGACTGCGCTTGGAAATAATAATGGATACTGGCTTAAAACCGGATTGCTCCAAAGAAAACCGGAAGAGACAGGTGGAAAGTTTCCCAGGGTGAGCTGCAGAAATGTTTTCTAGGTCTGAGCCTGGGCTGAGTGCAATAGGGGTTGAGCAGCGCTGCGACCCACGCTGACTAACTGCATCTCAACACCTAAAATAAAAATATTAATAACAGTCAGAGTTTAAAGAAGCTTTGTTGGTAAAGGAATCAGTTTAAATCTAAAGGCAGTGAATTCAGTTTAAAATGTATTTTTAGTTGCAAGGCAGATCTTTTCGCTGCATGGATGCAATGGAGAAAAACAATGGCTTCGAAGAGATTTCACAAACAGAAACAAAATCAATAACTTTACAAGAAATTTTTTTAACATAAAAAAAATCTGATGAATCCTATAGCAGGAAAACCTAAAATTTTCAGCAAAATGCTGCAGAACTGATCAAATTTATATGAACAATTTTCAAACTTGCATAGAAACAAAGGCAGACCATGGGAATATGCTTTTAAGCTGAAATGTTCCTGAACCCCCAGGGGATGTTCTGGAACGGCATGTCAGATTTGTTCTTGCTGTGCGTCGAGTCAGCGATTACCCGACAGCCCAGAGGGATCTGTGTGTAAACCCAAAGGGAGAGCCGCGTTTCCCTTCAGGGCAGCGGCAGCACTCCGAGCAGATACTGGTTGTATACACAAGGCCAGACAAGACAAGGCCAGAGACGGGACTCTCACCGGAGCCGGGCTTTCTACACGACACGATCGGCTTCTCGTCAAGCGACCGGAGTGAAGAAAAGCCTCTTTTCATAACTCAGTCCAGCTCAGCTTAGATCAGGAAAAGCTAATAAAATCCAAAAATATGTATTTTCCCTCCACGAAGAAAGTCTAAAATTGATCAGACTATTTGTTTCTGCAAACCAAAATATGTGGAACACAAAGGAACTTTGTAACCGACAGGACAGCGGTTGCTATGGAGTTGCTATGGCAACAACAAGCCACAAGCCTAGACCGACCTTTCGCCTCGTTCCAATCCAACTTATAAACAAAATACGTACATTACAATTATTACTCAAATGTACTTTTTGAGATAAATATCAGTGATATTTACTGTAATACTTACTGCCGATTAGCAAAATTAGCCTGGCTAATGTAGCTTTTAGCTGCATGTAGGCTAATTAGCCTACATGTTTGGTCCTACATGTACTTGCTCTCCAGTCACTAGAACCTTGTTATTCACAGGAAGAGTTTTACGCCCTGACCTCCATAGTTCAGGGTTAAACGTCAGGCAGAATCTGTAATTGGAAAACCTAAGATCGGCTTGAAGCAACAGTTTCTGGCTAAATACTGCAGAACTAAAATTTACATTGAAAAATGTCAAAATTTTCACACAAATATAAAGGAAAAAAAAAAAACAAGTTGATTTGGGGTTTGGTTACACTTCAAAAGTCTCAGGCTGACATCTGCCCACCTACTTTCAACTATGATAATCTCTATCGTTTCGTCTTCTGCTCATTTGTTCCCTCCTGCAATACTGCAAATGAAACAAAACCGTTAACTTTTTTAAAGTGTGGAGACCCAAATCTTTACCCGCTTGTCGATCCTGAAAGCCTTTACGGCAGTAGTTAAAAAAAAATTCACAAATACCATTAAGCGGTGAGACAGGAAGGAAACCCGAGCTTCTAACATTTCATTTTTAAAAGCCAAACTCGGTGAGAGACGATTTGAAGCACAAATAACAATAAAACAATAAAATAAGAGTTGGTGGCAGGGCTACAAGAGAGGCAAGAGACGGTGAATGAAAGAGGGTAAAAATGACAGGATGGGACATTATGGCTGAAGAAATGTATTTGATGAGTGACCTTTCTGCCACATCAGGACAGAACAATGGCCCATTATGTCCCATTGTATTCACAGAGCTACAAAATGGGCCTTTTAGCCGCAACACTGACAAAAGTGTCAGACCGGAGTGAAAGGCAGGAAGTGAAAGAAAGGAAAAGGTCTGGAGGGATAAGATGGCCGCTGAAGCTTCTCCTGTACTGATAACGCACGCTTGGGTTTGTTTTGTTAAAGAGTTGGTTAAAAATCAGCTTTAAAGAGCCAGTACCTCACACAGCATCTGCAAGGAGATTTTTAAACATTTCGCAACTGAAACACATGGAAATCTGAGCAGCTGTGGAGGTCAGAGGAAGTTCAGCAAGAAAATGACTTCATGTTGGACAAACTGTCACCCCCTGCACACAGGCTGGGGTCCTGCAACAACCATGTGGAGTATCAGCTTATTTTAATCCACAGGTGGCTAATAAGCTAACGGCGGCGGCCAACAGGAATGTTGATGTTGGCCGTTTCTGGATTTCTTTTGGTTGGGGCATGAGGTGATTTTTCAGATCTTTAAGCATTTTTATGCCATCAGGAAGTAACACAGCCTCCAAACGCTTCATGAATTTAAACCAAGTTTTAAAAGAAAGTGGTTAATTATTTAATAAGTGAAATAAATCACAGATTTTTATACTCAGGTTGATTTGGAAAGCATTTCTCCTTCAGAAATGTAGATATACTTTTTAAATGCTTAGATTCAGGTCAGTGTCTAAAAATACTTTTTCCACAGTTCTGTACAATTTTAGGAAACCAGTATAATTAGTGATCCTTTGTAGCTTTTATCATTTTTGTATTGTAACGTATTTTTAGAAAATGAACGCCTTCAAAATAAAAGCAAGGAGAAAATTTTCTTATGCAAATTTTTAGGATTTATCTAAAGAAACGATCTTTGTAGTTTTGAAACAAGACGAAACTAAATTACAAGCAACTTTTCAGCAAGATGTAAGAGCTTAATAATTTAAGTTAATAATTCCTTAATATTGTTGGAAAAGATGCAGATTATTTCACTTATAACAAAGGAAAAAATGTTTTATAAAATAATTTACCTGTGGAATTAGTACTTTTTTTAAATCAACAATAATAAAGTATTAACTCAAAACAAACTCCTTGTAAGTTGGTTTTGACTCATTTCAACTTGACTAAGATATTGGCACTAAAAACGATTTTGTGTTTTTGCAGTGAAAAAAAAACGTGTTGAGTTTGCATTTTTGCTGAGTTTGCAAATATTAAGTTTATTGACTAAAAATAAGCGTTTTCTTGCTGAAAAGTTATTTGCAATTTAGTTGTGTCTTATTTCAATATGTTAGGACTAGAAACTACTTGGTAATATTTGGTGTTTTTGCTCTGATTCAGAACAATCCACCAGATAGAGCCACTTTACAGCAGCCATTTACCCCTAATATCACCGTTTAATGTTGGATGTTTGGCTTTAAAAAGCAGCTATTTGGTTCAAAGGTCAAGGATTAAACCAGTTCAAGTATGTGACAAGATTTATTTTTAAATAAAACCTGATCAGCTGCAGCTACCATGAGATAAAACGGCACCAGGTCCATCATCTAACTCTTAATTCAGAGTATAAAACCAAAACCGTAATGGCGGATTATCACATGAAAGACCTGCTGTGAACTTTAAACAACCCAAAACATCAGCTGTGGCATTTGTGTTGAATTAAAACTAAAGACTGCATTGTTGTATTATGTGACTGTCAGCACTGCAGGCATAAAGACAGAATACAAACCAGACTTTTTACAACATGAGATGTTGTATAAACATGGGCTCCTGCCCTTCAAGCAGTGCATGGGAATTAATTAGCTGACAGAGCCGTAATGGTCTTGGCATTTATAAACTGCTGCCCTCCCCCCCCCGAAAACAAAACAAACTGGCACGGCGCCCGGCTGGCATTTCAGATTTACCATCCTGGATCTGAATAGTGAGACTTATTAGTATTTACATCTTATTAAAAGTTTGAACAGACGTGGAAGTTTGAGCCCAATAGGTTTGATGATTATCCTTCCTGTTGACCAAATGCATGAAAAATGATCAATAAAAATTGTTCCTGCTAAGGTATTCAGCATTTACAAACAATTTCGATAAAACAAGAGAAGTTTGGTTTAACTTCAGAAAGAGGAAATATTTCTCATTCGTCAAAAACAGATTTTTACTTCAACTGGAGCAGAAATTCAACTCAATCCCAGTTTGATCCTTTTATGTCACTTTGAATGAAACTGGATGGATTTTTCCTGTCAGTCATAAAAATCCATACATATGCTTTCATATGAAAACTGGGGAAAAGTCCGTTTACATACAATTTAGTTCAGGTACACTTAAAACTCCAATCATATAAGCAGGTTCAAGGGATTTTCAGGTATTTAACAGGAATAATAAACGTTTTCTTCACCTCTCTTGCTCCATCCTCATCTTCATCGTTTCCTCATCAGAAACCTGGGTCTCCTCGGACCTCCACTTGCTTGATCCTTTCCGGTCCATCTTCTCCGCTGGCCGCTCATCTTTTCGGTATTTCCCAAACCTGGAGCACCAAACGTGAGTGTTTAATTTAATTAAAGTGGGTAATTTACTGGCTCAGTAGATTTAATCGAAGGTGGAACTACATGAAAATGGATGCAAGAAGTTATGGAGGCATTTTGAAGAATTTAATAAGGAAAAAATAGACAGAAATGTTTTATTTTAACTCTAAAATTCAATGCATTTCCATCTTAGTCGCTCTTTCTGTACTTATCCAAACCTGGAAAATGCTCTGATCAAATTCCCTGACTTTCCAGACTGAATATTGAGAGATGGGCAAAGTACCAAAAAATTATACTCAAGTAAGAGTATCACTACTTCAACACATTTTTATTCAAGTAAAGGTAAAAAATGGTCGTCCAAGAAATTACTCGAGTAAAAAAGTATTTGGTAAAAACTCTACTCGAGTACTGAATAACTGATCAATTATCAGTCATTTAAAAATCACATCAGACCAAAATGACAATAATTAATACAAGTAAAAAACAGCAAAATATTTTTTTCCCCCCAAATCAGTTTCTTTCAATAAAAAACTGATGAAACTAATAGAAACTGCAGGTTTGTGTCTGAGTCTGGTTTGGTTTAAACATCTTTGTTTTTCATTCAGAGGGAAGAAAATCCAGAAGTTTTACTCAAGTCAGAGTAAAAATACTTCATAATAAAATTACTCAAAGTACAGTAAAAATACTCCTAAAAGTATTTATTTTTCAAAAGAGTTGCTCAAGTAAAAGAGTAAATGTAACTAGTTACTACCCAACTCTGACCCACAGAGATGGAAACATTAAATCCCCTTGAGCCAAATTGCAGCAATCTGACTGAAAATGTGACTGAATCTCTGCAGAGCGGCGACTTTTCACCGAATCAGTCTCTCAAAATGAAGCATTTAAAAAGTTCTTCTCATGAGTTCAGACCCAATTCAGCTCGTTTAAAGTTGCGGAGCGGACGCAGTAATTATATTCATGGGGAGGGAGCGATGCCTAATGAAATAGGAGCCTTTGCAGAGATATTTCAGCTTGATTGACCCGGTATAAAGCTGCAGCCTGTTGAAGAAATGACTTTGGCACTGAACTCGCTTCCACAATGAACCTGCGTGATTATTCACAGGGAAACTGGTCCGCTGAGAATATCTACGACTTCCAAAGTAACAACGGAGATAGAAACCAAACGGCTGCATGTGAATTAATGAGAGAAGGCAGAGGCAGAGAAAGAAGATATTTTTTCTTCCCTGAATCAAAAATAAGAATAAAGCCAAACTAAGGAGAACAGGGGCGCCCTTAAGTGAGGCTCCTGTGTGTAAAGACGGAGCCCAAAGTCTCAGGATCAAAAGAAAAGCATGCGATGTTAGTCCCCCAACCATAAGAGCGTCTGAGGATTAAAGAGAGAGAACACAGACGACCTGAATTAGTTATAAAGACAAGAGGAAAATAGGGAGAAATGTTGAGAAAGTCGAAGTCCCGTCTGTGAGAAAATCAATGGACAAGAAAGAAAAACGAAAGCAAAACAAATCAATGACAAAATATGTGAAAAACCAACAAAACAAGCAAACAAATCTGCAGAAAGAGACGCCGTGTTAAAAGTACCAAAGCTGATGAAAGAAGACATACAAAACACAAAGAAACATATAATTACAGAAGAAAATCATTTTTAATAAAGAAAAAAAAGTGAAGAAAATGTCTGTATTATTCATCTTTATTTTTACAAACTAATCAATGCCCCTCAGGGGTTTTGATCTTTATATACTGGAACTGGAAAGCTTTGTTTATAATGAAGCCGGGATGGTTAACAAGCATCATTTTACTGCTGAAGAACACAAAACCTGAAAAATAAAACCAGTTCTTTACAGGTTTTTCCACTTAAAAACAAAAATCAACACGTTTTAATATGATGTTTTTTTCTTACTGCAAAAAATAAAATACAAACCAAAAATCTAAAAAATAAAAATAAAAACAAAAGCTGAATACCGATTTGAGTGTCACAAAGTGACAGTAAAGAAGCTGAATCCATTTAAAATCAGCAGAGACTTTTGGTTCCCAAACAGATCCACCAACTGGTTCACAAACTGCTGATCTGATTTTCACTGGATCAGTTCATTTATTCTAACATTTTTCCATCCATGAGCAAAACCAAAAATGTCTCAAAGAACATCTGGGATAAGATTTCTGAGCTGCTATAAAACACAAGAAGTTGGTGGATAGAAACTTCCTAACTGATCAGAACTAAATCATATTTTTGTGAAATTTATGATGTTCCTTTTCAGGTTGTTTGTTTGCGTAGCAGAAAGAAAAAGTTTTTTTTTCTGTACGTTTTAAATGTGGAACAACCAAATAATCGTCAAGTCGTATAAAAACAAAAAAGAAACTAATGGTTCCAGATGGAAAAAATGGTCAAAAGTTAAAAAGTCAGAACTAGAACTTTTTTCCCCAAGTTACAAGTGGAATAATCCGTCAGTGGAACTGGTACTTTTTATCAATATCAATTAACCCCTAACCCCTTAAAACAAGCACCTATATCTTGCTGAAGTGTTACTTGATAGTTTTGTCTGATTTCAAATGAAAACTGTGAAAACGCTGCTGCAGAAATCAATGCAACTAAAGATAAACATGTATGAAATGTTCTTCAGGTGGTAGAAGGCTGACTTTGTAACCATCTTTTTGTGGCTCTGGAGGTTCAAATCCATCAGACCTGACCGATCAAAGGAGAAAATGAGGTGAAATTTCTCTGCGACAGGTGGAAACCCAAACAGGCAGGAACCAGAGGGAGAAACTAAGCAAAGCAGGGAGATAGGAGGTGTGAGGAAAACTGATGGAGTGATGTTCCAGCGCCTGATTAATGTGACCGCAGCCGCCTGAAACGCTCAGACTGACAGCCTGAAGTTAATGCTAAGAGCAGGAGTGATCTATCACAGCTCCACATGGCTGACACGTTCTCTCCCCACACCACTAACTTTCATTAACAGCCCATTAAAAACAGCCTCGTCATACACAAACACACACACACACGCACGCACTCGCAATGGCATGCAGACTAAGATTTATGACAGCAGTGGAAAACTTTGCAGAGGAGAAAGAATATCAACCACGACACGAGGGAATTTAACGATCTTGTATTCAAAGCACGGTGAGGCCGGCGGCGGCGCTGAGCCCGACGTGATCGATACGGAGTCTTTGACGGTGGTTCTGCGGTTTTAAACGATCACTTTAAAATGTCAGGGGTTCTGATTTAATTCAGCCGAACGCCTGAGTGTCTCTAATAATCCCTTCATTAGGAGAAAAAGCTAAAAGAAATCTGCAGTGGGAAAGGACTTGTGGCATTACAGAGCTGCAAAAAAAATAAAGTTTTCCTGAGAAAAGCAATAATTAGTAAGAAAAAAAGGAAAAACAAAACACTTTGATGAAGTTTTGCTCAAAGTAGCAAAACAACAAATGGGACAATAAGTTTGGCTTAAACTTTTGTGTTGTTGGTAGAAAAAGCTGGAAATGTGACGTGTATTTGCCCAGCATGGAGCAGACAGTATATAGCAATAAAACAGTAAATTTTCAAATTAGTCTGCCAAATAATAGCATAATGGCAGTTTTAACAAATGAATAAAAAATATATTCTTCCTAAAAGTTACAAAGCATTAGCTAAAGAAATAAAAAGAAATTTGCTAAATTTATATTCCCAATTTTCTGCATGTTGGGTCTAAAATAAATATTCCAGCAACTCAATGTGCAGCTAAACAAAACAAACAGTTTATAGATAAAAATTTTGACAATCTTTAATAGTTAATTTGTTTAGATTCTGTAGCTTCAGAAGCTAAATCCCCTCCCAGTCAGAACCTGCTGCTCTTTAAACGCGTTCCTCGTGTGGCATCTTCTCCTTTGGCTGCACGCCACGTCTTATTTTGTAGACACAGCTGGTGCAACATGCAACAGATTACAATGAACACAACATCAACTGCAGCTAAGACTGTGAAGATCAGAGCATGATGCATCAGAGTCCCTTCACCCAGAACAAATCTGAGCGGAAAACCCGTCAGCTGACAGCAAACGGCAACACAAACAAGCTGCGCGCGCACGAAGATTGTAACTGTGCAGTTTCAGGCTTGTTCGCTTGTTTAAGATGCACACAAACACAGAGTACGCCGTTAAATTAGTGCAGCCCTCGGATTTCTGGGCAACAAGCGTCCCAGCAGATGCCAAGCCGACAGACCGGGTGCAGCTTCTGAGTCCAAGAGACGATCAGAGAGAAAGTTGGCAGGCGGCGCTGCTGGCAGGCGTTGATGGTAATGATGCTTTGATTGGGACTGAGAGCGAGGCCTCAGAGACATGAGAGGGTCAGGCTGATCACGCAGCGCCTGACGTGTCCTCAAACACGCCACCGCCTCACATCAAAGGCCGCTTCCCCACCCTGCGCCCACCCGGCTCCTGCACCGAAACCGAAAGCTCTCCTGGGATCGCCCCGCTCTGCAGAGCGACACTTTCTGAAAAACACACGGACTTTGTTGCCTTCACGTCCAAACCTCTGTAGTTTGGGATGGCGCTCACATCAACACACGTTTCACCGCGACAAGCCGCCACAGAATCTGACGTCTACTTTCCCCCCCTTTTTCTGCTAAACTACACATCATCCATGATGCTCGTTTGTTAATTTCTCTTTGAAACACACCAAGTATTTGTCTTAAAGTGGCAGTAATATTTTAAATCGACTTTTTTAGTTATCCCCTCATCAAAAACAAACCTGGAGTGTTGATTTGATTATTTCATGAATGTTTGAGAAATCCTTCAATCTCCATGGCAACCATTAAGTTGTACAAAACATGTGGGTGGACCAAGCCTTGCCTTCAACAATGAAGCTCCTTCAGACTAGCCAGAAGCGATTAGCAAACACCTGGTGGAGCTGCTGAACTCGTTATGGGAGCCATTTCTCAGTGCAACACTGGTAAAAATGCTGCTAAAGGGTTAAAAGAGGAGCCATATTGTGACTTCCTGAAGGTGGAGATTCAGAAAGAGCAGGAGTTTTTAAAGAGACAGAGGCCCAATTTTAAGGCATCAAATTTGATATATTTAGCCTTTTTATAGAAGTTACTTGATTGTGCCATAAAAACATTGAATTTGGAAAGTTGTTTTGAATATTTTTCAGTTTAATTTTTTTTTTCAGTTTCAAACATTTTCTTTACTTTCAAAACGATTTTCCAGTTTAAAATTTCTATTTTTTTTTTCAGTTTCAGTTGTTAAACTTTATGGCCCCAATTTAGCTCCATAGAATGATTAACAACAAAGTTATAGAAAAATACTTTGAGACGTTTCAAAGAGATAAATCAGCCTTTTGTTTCAGGTTTGATGCATCCTAAAGTTGCTGGATGGTGGAACTCATTCTGACAGACCATGAAGAGAAACTGAATAAATATTATGAACCATCCTATAGGTGAAACAGAACAGCTGGATGCCAATAACTTGGTTAGTTGTGTTGTTATTACATCTGTAATTCTGCTGCACAACTCTGTGCTGCATAATGATAATTTAATTGAATCCAGACTCTCCACAGATGGATTAAACATATCTCACATCAGCCGGCGCTGCCAGTAAACCTGGATAAGGATCAAACAGACGCACTAATTGACTCTTAATGGGGCCAGAAATGAGACCATGTTTTAACAATGCACATCACTCCTGTGGTGCAGGAAGACTTCAGTCTGAAAGGAAAGATATTAACTTCCAGTTCTGTTACAATAAGCCTAATTCATTTTCTGTAAGACGCCACAGAGGTAGTAGTTCTGCAAGAACTCCCAAAATACAGGCGCAAGAAGAAAATGAAGTCGTCTTGTTCCTGCAGTTCCAGGTGAAAACTAATTTATTTGTTCTTGTGGAGAATATTCTGTAAAAAAAAAAAACTCTTATGTTTCCAAATAGGTGATGAAGTCGTCTTGCTAAACATTTCAGACTTTTCAATTCAACGTTGGCCGCATTTTCAGCCACCTTCAGTCCATTTTCTGATCCTGATCAGAGGATTTTTAAGTGTTTAACTTTGACCCACAAATCATTTACTCAGGAAAAAACCTGGTCTAATGTCGTCCAATAACAGACAACCTCCAAAAACTTCTAATCAGATCTTCAACTAAATTTTTCTGTCAAAATACAGAATTTGTTCCCATTAATTAAAATTTTTTTTCAAGACTTGATTTATTGTAAAATAAAATTAAGGACTTGGCGAATGTTAAATTATGTGTAATATACCTTTACAATTCTGATATGAATTTATAGTTATTATTCTGAGTATTATTTTTAAGCTTTAAATTAAAAGTTTAAAACATTGTCTACTTAGTATGGCACTGAATAAATAAAAAAATTAATGTCTGAAGAAATTAATCTAAAATAGAGGTTTTTTGGTGATACTCTAATTTTTGGAGATGCACCTGAACGTCTAAGCTCTCGATCGATAATGCCTTCATGAAGATATTGATCAATATTGTATTGATGCATAATGTGGCTCTCAGCTTTACAATGATCTGAATCCTGTTTTTACCTGAACATGTCTCCAAGTCCCTTCAACATTCCTTTCTTTGGTTTTCCCTTGTCTTTGTCCTTTTCCTTCCCTCCATCTTGTTTCTTCTTCTCCTTCCCAGGTTTGTCTTTGTCCTTCTTCTTCTCCTCCTTGGTGCGGTTGGTGCCGTTGACCAGGGGCTTTTCGGGGCCGGCGGACAGCGGCGTCTGGTCCGCCATGGTGGAGACGGAGTCTCTCCCAGATCGGGAACTCTCCTCCGTGTCTTCCTCCACTGCAGAGAAACAAACATGGAGACGATTTGGAAACAAAAAAAAGCAGAAAACCTTATTTTAACCTTAATTTGTAGGTTCTGTAGATGTGTCGTTAGGTTTCTGATTAAACCAAAATACATGTCCATGATGGAAGAGTTCTTATTTACATTTAAATGGAGGCCAATAGACTAGGGGTGTCCAAACTGTGGTCCGTGAGCCATTTGTGGCACTCGAAGTGATTTTTATCTGGCCCTTGACCAAAATACAAAAATGATAAAAATGTGTTTTTTCACCTCAAAATTCAAGGTTGAAGCACTTAAAAAACACCTTTTAGTGAAATTTTTGCTGCCATTGCCAAATAAAGTCCCCTAAATGTAAAATTACTTGTTAAATAAATTTTGTAGCAAACAGAATCACAAACTGTCTAAATAAAGCAAATGTTTGTGACAAATGAGCGACCCATATCATGGTGCTGAGAATAAACACAAACAAATCCAAATAGATAAACCATTGACATTTAAGATATAGTTGTTGTTTTTTTAAACTAGATTCAAATAACTGGATTTGATGTTACATATATTTAGTAACTTACAGTTCCCTTTTCTATGGAAATCGCACTTCTTTATTTTATTAAAAAATGTGTGAAATATTTAGGTGTGTTTTTTTATATATTTAATTACAAGATTTAAAAATGTCAGTCTTTTGTTGCCTTCAGTTACTTTCCACCAGTGAATTACACGCTGGGAAAATAAGGAGAAGCAATAAATTACCTTCTGTTGGTAAAAAAATAGTAATTTCTGTTTAACTTCTTACAGATTTCGTCAATTTTTCGCTATTATGAATGTTTACTGTAAATTACACTACTTTATGATATATTTGGAAATCTGTCATAAATCATAGGCCATGTTTGTTTTTATGTACGTTTATCATACTTTTTAAATTATTTCCATGAACCTGCTGGAGGACTAAATCTGGCATATTTACGTGATGGATTCATGTTGATTAATATGCATTGTCCACTTCATGAAGAATTGAAAAAATCTAAAAATTTTGTCTGATCAACAGTTTGGTGAAGTAAATAAATGTGTAATGAGCAAATACTTTTCACTGAGTTCCATATATGTTTGTGATGTGTCTGGATGCAAGAGTGTCAAACAGAAATAAATCTTCATACATCAACCTACAGGTAAAAATCCTCCTCTGGAGCTAAATCTGCTGCATTTTTCCTTTAAAATAAACCTGTTAAATAAAAACCTGTCCCAGCTAACAGAGAAATGTCTTTCATTTTCATAAAGGTTACAAACCTGATTGATTAAAAAGCCACAGCCGAAAGCATCAACACTTCCAGATATTAGCCATTAGTCAAAATGGCACCACCCCCATGCAGTAAACAGATATTAGTGGTTGACGCATTAATTAATTAGTGTTACGTGGCTCCACACAGCAAAAAACAACTGATTGAGAGTTAAACCATTTCATAAGTCAGGAAACGTCCGGGGAAACTCAGACTTCTGCTTTGGTGGATCATACCTGCAACAAGAGTTCGAATATTAAATGGATTATTTGACATCTTACAAGTCTCCATGCCCTCGTCGTCGTCCTCCAAGGCGGCTGGCCGGTCATAAGATTTGTCGATGGCGGCCCGGAAGCTCTCGTTGCAGCCCCGCCCCCTGATGATGCGAGGGCGTGGCCGGTGGAACGGGAGGTCACCGTTGAGGGTGACCTCTGCTACCGCCGTCTGGAGGCTCTCTAGAGAGCTGGACTTCTTGAGTCCCAGTGAAGGTCCAACGTCCTTAGTGGAAGAACCTGACGGAGATGATAGACGGGAAGATTCTCTAAATGGACCGGTGATAAGTAACTTTAAGATCTAACACCATCTAAAATGAAGGTGAGGCTCGTTTCATGTCTGAATTAGATATAAAACTTCTATTTGCTTTAAAAATGTGTCATTTTATTAAAGAGTGATGCAGACATAACTGAGGTAATAAATTATTGTCAAATCAGAAAGGCAAAGTTCACAGCAAATGTGACCCAGATTTTTTGACTGAATGCGAC